GTGCTGCACAAAGTGGCTCCGGCTCCACGTGCGACCATCACCCAGGGCCATCGCRCTGGGCACAACGCCGCGAGCAGGGAGCATTGGCTCCCGAAGTACAGCAGCCTGATGYGGAGCCTTGGTGCAGAGAGAATCCCCTGCAGCTTCCCCAGTATGAGCATTAATTCAGATCAGAGGATGTAAGTAACCAGGACAGAACAGCTGCCAAACACTGGGGAAAAAACCCAACAAGTTTAATTTACACTGCTTGGAAGCCTGAGCTGCAGCCCATTGAAGTGCTCCAGGCCAAGTCCTCGCTGCACAAGTACAAAGTGCTCGCGGAGGGGCTGCGTGCGCCCCTGCCCGCATCCTTCACCAGCGACCCTGCACAGCCACCACTCCCAGTTACTGGAGAGAGGGGAAAAAACGCCAAAGAGCAGAAATGCTCCAGAAAGACGAATTGCACAAGGGCAGGGTTCCCTGGTAAGGGCCCCCGGTTAGGATTTTCAATTCGGWCATGTTGATTAGAGTCCCGAGGCCCGGGCTCTCCCCGGAGTGAGCGGCTGCGCATGCAGGCGCTGGGAGCCAGGGGACCCGGCCAACACATATTCCACAWAAAGACTCATTTGGGAAGAGCGCGTTGTCAGCACTTCGTCCCTAATAAATAATGACAGTCCAAACACGTCACTAAAAGAAATAAACTCGGGAAGTGTTKTGGAAAACGGTGAAAGTGATTGATTTAAAGAAGGAAATATCTGAACACAACCACATGCACTTCAGGGTGAAAGCACAGATTACAAATCAACAGTGGCAGAGATCATATTAAATAGCAGACAACACAGAAGTTTTAGGGAAAAAACGCTTGGTTTCCCCGCAGGACATATTTAACAACTGAGCATACAGCTTCCGTGAATGAGTACCTGCAGTTTGTATTTAATGACCCTACGCTATGCCCTAAAGCAAACACGCCTCCAGGAATATTGCTATACCAGGAGCAGGGCTCTATAAAGAAAAACGATCCTAAGGATATTGAAGTCTCTTCACTCTGAGCACTMCCTAAAATTTTCAGTGCCTCCAGAAAATCAGCTAAATCAATCAAACTTCTAACTACGGCTAATGTCTTCCCTTCTCAGCTGCTGCAAGGGATGCTTGTGTCTGGAAATCACTCTTATTGTTTAAATATTTTTTCCCAATCACARTTTTCTACCACTAAAACATACTGGACTGTGACCAATTTTTGCACGTCTTCATCCAGCTGAGCTGGATGCGAGCCACACGGTCACTGCAGCTTCCTAACAAATTCCTTATGGGAAACAGACTTGGGATAAACGTATGCCAGTCCCCACCACCCGCTCAGGCAGGTCATCATGTCAGACATGCACGTTACATGCATTTCATCCCCAAACTGCCTTTTACTCTACGGGCTGGAATGGGCCCATGGAAAACACTTCTGCCAAGCTTCAATTTATTGCTTCAATCTCTGCTTTTTTTTTTTTTTTTTTAATATATCCACAGCTACTGCGAGGTGAACCCAGTCAGTGTGCCATCCTTGACCTCTTTTAGAGCAAATGATTGAAGAACTAGGGATACTTTGCTCTAGTTTCTGCTAAGACTGATATGCGTATTCCAGTCAAAGAACATGTTTTATCGGGTGTCCATCAGAAAGCAGATGTACATTAGAGCTTTTTTTGGTAAAACATGTTAGGAAATGCAACTTCAAGGAAGCAGCTCTACCAAGCTCTGGACGGAGTGGGTTGGGCAGAGCTGCTGAGGAGCAGGCCACACATCCATCCAAAGCACAACCGCTGGGACGGGGACCTGGGCGCTCACTCCCTACCCGCCGCAGCCCGACGGGGTGCCTGGCCAGGGGCCACCGGCCGCCTCTGGCCCCGCGTGGGACCATTTTATGCAGTCCCGGCTTTGCTCCTCGCCAGAACATGAGCAGTGAAAGTCTTGGCGCCTTTGGCTCTACAGACTTCAACTCTACCTACTCCATTGAAGAACCATAAAGAAGAATTTAAGATGTTGTTACTTTTAAACAATATCATTACTACCTTAAACAGAGCAGGGGAGGCGGCAGGCCCCTTGCACCAGGCACAGCTGCTTTATTAACTGYCTCCTGCTGCACATCATCAGCCGCGGGCTCCGCCGCCCGGGCTCGCACGGCTCAGCTCGAACCCTCCAATAAAAGGAACCCATTCAAACTCAGACTCCTCTGCCCAGAAAGGAAATCCTGACATTCCTTAGTGCTGAGCTCCATCGGGAGCACGGGAACAGCAGCAATCACTTCCCTTTCCTAAGGGGAGGGACTTAACTATTTAAACAGTAATTGGGAGCATGGGAGGAAAATTTATGCACCCTGCTCTTACTTCAGGGCTTCAAGCCAGACAAGCGCTCCCTTCTTATCCAAACCCGAACGACCCCTCTGTGGCGCTTCCCAAGGGCCGTGCCAGCCTCACTGGATGCGCCGAGGCCCTGGCTCTGCTGTGCTGCACCTGGGCCCTCCTGGCCCGCCGGGATCCGCAGAGATCTCGGCCCTCTGGAGCGGCCAACCCAGTGCAATTAGGCGAGCACACCCTGCTCCTCAGCAAGCCGCTAACCTTTCACATGACAGCCCTGCACGCGGCTCCATGGTCAGCGCGGATCTACGCACTCAAAACCTGACATCAACAAGTGAAAGTTGTGACTGAATCCTGGTCTCCCCAAGAGGGAGATTAACCGCCAGTGACACATGATCTGCAATCAGAGCGCTCCGCTTCCCAAAGTATCTGTCACAGATTGATAACATCCACGCGAAAAGTTAAGTGCAATTATGTCTGTCACTGTAAAGCACAGGTCGAGCGCTGACTGACGTCCTGCTTGCTGCTGACAGACTGCGAGGGGCTGCCGAGCGYGGGAGGGCAGCGGTGCTCGTGGGCTCCCGCCGGGCTCGGAGGCCGCAGCCCCGCRCGGGGGCAGCGCAGGGGTCCCAAGGGCCGCCAAACCGCCTGCTCTCAGCGCTGCTTTTGTGGGCCCGCGAGCTCCTTGCTTCCCAAGCTTGGCTCTGCACGCAGGGAGGGGCAACGCGCTCCGCCTCGCGCGGGGCTGCAGCACGAGGTCCAGGGACCGAGGGAAGCGCCGCCTCGCGCGGGGCTGCAGCACGAGGTCCAGGGACCGAGGGAAGCGCCGCCTCGCGCGGGGCTGCAGCACGAGGTCCAGGGACCGAGGGAAGCGCCGCGCAGCCCCCCCCCCCCCCCCCCCCSYGCCCCGAGCCCACCGCAGCGTTCACCACGGGCTGAGGCTGCAGGCGCCTTTGTCCAGGCTGCCGTTAGCGCCAAGGAGCCGTTGCAGAATTTGGCATGAAAAGGCACCAAAGCGGTGCRGCGCCCYGTGGGGCGGCCTGGCCATGTGCTCCGTGCAGCGGGACACGCTCGCTGGCACCCGGGGCTGCCCGGATGCCCACGGCACTGGACACCCACAGCAGGAAGCACCCAGGAGAAGAGCAGCTGAATGACAACAAGCGCAACCCCRTGGGCACGCTGGAGCTGTCCTGCCTGCGCCAGCCGCAGCAGCAGCCAACTGCTGTCTCCCACTATGAAAGTTCTTCTTTAAGGAAGGTTAGAGCAGTAGCTCACCAGCATGTATCACCGGCTCAGTTTATATCCAGCATTACCAATTACTATGAAGCACCCAAGCGACCTTGATTGAAACCCACTTTGCAGCRCCAGCCAACAACAGCAGAGCAGCGTGCCCAGGCAGGCGCCCCTCGGCAGCACCGTCCGCCCAGGGCCCCTTGGCACAAAACACATGCACGCAATGCACCAGCAGCTGCCTGCAGCTGTGGTCACATCTCTGCGGAGATGCGAAAATAAGAGGTTACTTGTGACTGCAATCTTCCGCGAGCACTATGCTTGAATAACTTGCCACACTGCTGATAAGGTATTAAAAAAAAGGCTTTCCAAGTAGCATGTGTTTCCCGTAATAATATTTGCAGGATGTGTTTTTATATACATTTCTATTTCTTAAAGAATATATTGGATAATAAATAATCAGAGTAAAGAACAGACATGAAAGATGTTTTGAATGATCAGGCTGCTGGTGTAAAAGTTACCTGTAAATCACGCACAGGGCATGAGAGTGGAGCTGGCTACAGACAGGTGGTTTTTACTAGGAAGCATTAATGTAACATTCAATTATTCCACTGCATACTGGCTGTTTTAACTCAGCCAAATTAGAATACATTTTATATTGACTATTTTGACATTTGCTTTATTTGGCAAGTAAAACAAAACTGATCCAATTTCCTTGCAGCCATTGTAAACCATAAACTGTACAACAAGAGGTTATAAAATATATAAGCCTTGTAAACACTTCTTTTCAGACTGTCGCTGATGCTCTGAGCTCTAATTTTGGCCCTGTTCCCAACAGCTCTGAAGCTGCTCTGCAGCCTTCCCTGTTCGGCCATAAAGTGACCCTTCCACGCCTCGTGATTAAAAGACTGCCACTGACATTCTCCTGCCATGATAATTTTTCTCTTTAGTGTAGAAATTTGCCTAGGCAGGAGCTTCTTGCAGACAAGAACTGACAGTCTGTGCCCTAAAACTCAAGACATCTCTCTCCGACCCTGCATGGCCTTTGCCAGCGCTGCTCTATGTGCAGGGGAACCGCAGCGAGCGGGAGCCTCCAGAGGCCCACAGGCCTCTCCGCTCGTGCTGCAGACAGGCGGGAGGGCAGCGCAGTACGGCAGGTTTGCAGGGGCCAGGGGAGGGTCTAACAGAGGTAACACTCTAACAGACACCCATGGATAACAGTTATGGAAACAATGGAGAGGTGACACCAGCATCTGCCCAAAGGTTCTGCTCCTGCATGCCCTGCACAACGGGCAACCTGCACTTTGTGGACACCTCCAAGGCTGCAGCTTAGCAGACATGTCCAAGAAAAGCAAAAGCAGGACCAGTACTTCAGAGATGACTAATTCGGGAAAATAAGAAATAAAATGCTCTCCTCATTGGAAATTATTTGGAAATAACTAGAAAACTTACCTAGGCAAGTTGGGAGCTGGCGTTGAAGATGGTACTTGGGAAGAAGGGGTTGTGGCTTGAGAAGATTCATGGTTTCGTGGGACTCTGCCCATCCGGTACCAGATGCCCATGTTGTTCAGTTCCCTTTGTAATCAACACAGAAGACATGAATGTTGCAAGCAGATGTTGCATGTGTGCACAAATATCAAGCACAGGCATGTTTCCCAAACATCTTGATTAGTAAGAACCAGTCTAATTGAAAAGATGTTTACTCACTTCCTAGATCAAACTTACTAAGACTTACATAGACCTTTTAAATTCTCCTACAAATTCCTGCTTAGAGTGAGAGAAAACAGGGCGCTTAGCCTTGGTAGACGCCGTTCAACAGAACGCACAAGAGCAGCTTCTAGAGTGAGGGGTACTTACCCTATGAACGTGTACTGAGGAGGGGCTTGCTTCGATCTACCCAGAATTCGGATATCACAGATTGCTGCCTCTGTGGAATCTCGAGGGATGAATTTAATGCACAGCCTCTTCTTCCTGAAGGCTACCTCCTCTGCAAAAACAACCCAGGACAGAGGTTGGGGTTTATGCAAGAGCAGTGCTCCATGTGCAGGGGAGATAAGGAAGCCGCGGGACGCACATGGGGAGCACACAGCACGGGATTCTCCTTCTGTGGACTCTCGTGCTCGCTTCCTCTCTCCAAGGCAACGCTTGCCTTGCCTGCCTGGCCTGGCCAGCGATATCTAAGTATTTCTGCTGCAAAGGCTGCCTCTCGGCACAGCCAGGGAAGCTGCTGCCACAACCGGCCTGTTTGCTCTGCCAAGTGCTCCCAGGCAGCCAAACCCACAACAGTGCAGGGTACAGGCGTGGAAACCACCCTCGCTCCATCTCACACCGCGCAACCCACGAGAGCCTGAAAGGGGAGCAGGAGAAGGCTCCTGACTGCAAATGCAGGCATTTGCAAGAYATTGCAGAGGTTTATTAATAAACTGGAAGTGAGAAGTGCAGACACTGAATGGAAGCTGAAAGCTACCAACAAGTACCAAAGCACACCTGGAAAATAAAAACCTTCAGCTTAATATGAATAAATATCCTTCAGTTTAAAAATATTCCCTCCCTTCACCAGATGGCACACAGCCCTTTCTCGGTGGGCTCCTCCTGTTTGGTAATCTGTGTCTCTGTGATAGCAATCCATCTCGGCGGCGACAAGGCGCTGTCAGGGCAGCAGCGCCCAAGGGGCCGGGAGCGCGAGGCGCAGGCAGCCCGCGGGCGCAGCGCCCTCCTCGGGGCTGCCAACGCCCGTACCCTGAACCCTCATCCCCGCTTTGGAAAGCAACGGCTTTCCAACAAGGTGCCCAAAACAGACTGGAGAATGCCAGGGTTTAGATTTTTGTACCTGATTTTTTTTCCATCATCTGCTAATGACTGCTGTACTTAATGTATTTATTATAAGCCAAATGTCACTTAAGAGAGGAAGAGCACAGCTATAAACAAGTACAACCACAGATTTAACTGAACAGAATTACTGCCTCTTATTATTTGACTTCCACAATAGCACAGAATTGACTGTTTGCTTTTGTCTTCTCTTTCACACTTGGCTAGAGCCTGTAGTCTGCAGCAAACTTGGTTTAGGAGTTAGATCCATTAATTACACATGCTTAACCAGAGCTAATTTTAAACAAACATATTATGAACAGTCAATTGAAATGTGTTTAGTCATGCTAATGGAGGCAGGGAAATGCACCACTTCATTAACACAGGCAGTGCCTCTGCTTTAAAGATTGCAGAGGTTGCYATCCAATGCATTTTAAATTAATGACAAAGTCCCCTCTCTACAACAAGAGCAGCAACACGCGACAACCATCCCGCACCTGCGAGGATGAGCCCAATGGGCTGGGCCTTCCTCTGCCCCGCRCGTGTTGTGCAAGTACCCCGGGAAGGGGGATGCCACGGGGGAAGYCAGTAATGGGTTACAGAGCCGTTCACTTCTAGGTCACGGGTTCAAACCAGGACCAGGCTGGTAGTGAGGGAAAAACTCCTCATGTGCTGCAGAGCTGGAAGAATTATTCCCTGTAAAGGCGGCTCAGTTAAGTCCTTTCTGTTCGTAACAGTCTGGCTTTCATTACGGACAAGCACCGGCACCAGCCGCCCCGTGCTCCAGCCTGCACGAGCCCTGCCTCCCGGCACCGCAACCGAGAGGCGCCGACTTACGTGTGTCAACAGTCTCCTGGATGGGGATGAAGCCCACAGGCAACGTGTCCTTGATGTCAATGAGCTTCATATCAACCAAGACATTGCCTAAATGGCTCTGAAGAGAGAAGAAAACAGTCAACCAGGACAGCACAACGAAATTCAAACCCACCTGTTCTTGTCCATTAAACCTCAAGATGTTTTGCCATTGCTTCTGAACACCAACYAATAAAAAGGCAAGTGGGTACCATGCCAATGCTGTCCTCTCTGCAGGGGCCACATGTGATCGAGTAAGAGAGGCTGGACAACTCCTGCATGTACAGATTCTTATATCTCATCCACACCGYAACACCTGGAATCTCTGGACAACCACAAATTCCTTCTTGAAATCATGGCCATTCAAAGCATCACCCACAACCCAACCTCTTAGCTCTCACACACAACAGATCAGCAGCGTGACGTTTCTGTGACAGCAGCAGYAGGAAGCACTACGGGAAGACGGTTCATTCAGACACAGCCAAAGTGCACACATGCATTAGCTAATTAGTACTGAATCCACATGGTTCTAGCTCCAAAAGCAGGCAAGCTCCAAAAGAGCCCGCCATTTGGAATGATAAACTTCATTTGGAATCCACACGAAAACTGAACCGATGCCGTGTCCTATTAATCAAGGCTTGAAGAGCTAAAAACACAATTTAGAATGACAGCCTCAGCTATTGTTCAGAACCAGATTTTCTTTCCAGTTCTCATTAAAGCCAACATTGCTGCCAATAATCTGGATTCACATGTGGAAGAAAAAAAACAACAACAGAAAAACCACTTTAGTTACTACATAGCTTTTATAAACAGAAATGCAATACAGAACAATTACAGTTTCATCCCAAGCCATCAAACCGTGTCAGTGTGCTTTACTGTTACTTGTTGCTAAGTACCTCCCAGAGTTTGAATCTGTCAGGCAAAGCACTCCAGGCAAACCTCTGCTCTCCAATTATTATAGCGAGCTATTTTAAAACGCATTTGAATCTGCAGCCTTCGGAAGGGGGGCAGATCAGYTGTGAGCATTTGCAGTTGATTTTTCGAGGTTCTTCCCATGGGTGGCCCATGAGAAGGCCCCCAGGCTCCGGCCGTGTCCCTGCAGTGCCCGAGCTGCGCGGTCCCACGGGCACTGATGCCGGCACTTATGCTGCCTCTGCCAGCCTGTGTTTGCCACYACCCTCTAATTATTTCTGACAACCCTGCATTAAGGTAGCCACAGATAAACTTAATACCCAAATAATCACAAATCCTTCTGTTTAATATCTTCCCTACCTAGTCTGGGGCTGTTATTACCACTGCTGCAGGTACTCGGCGACCAAAAGCACAATTCTTCCAGGAAGCAACATTCCCCTCAGCTCTGCGGGTTTATTTTAAACCAGAGCGAGGCGAGAAAGCRGAGGGAATAAAGGTCAAGTGCTGAAAATTGTCAGGTCGCTCGGTTTTCCTGTCAAGATCCACTGCCAGCAGTTGCTCTTCTGTTTCTGTCACTGCTGAGAACACAGGTACAAAATGGTATTCCATATCCTTAATGACAGCCACTGTGAATATCCAAAGCACCCAGAGCAGCAGAATTACCCACTAGATGGAGTGCATTCATTGCAGAATTAAATAGTTCCTTCAGAAAAGAGGAAAATTTCACACTACCCTCAACTGGAAAATTAAGTGAACGCAGTAGAAGGCATCAGGTTCTCACGGCACGCAGTCCCTGCAGRTGTGGGCAGACAACAGCGACCCATTAGACATGACCTTAACCTGATTTCTGTGCAAAGCAGCTAGTACTGAGTGACATGTGCATAACACAGCCAAACTTTCAAGAATCAGCAGAAAAACAATGAAGAACGAAGAGCTAACCCTATAGAAAAATACATATTATGCCTCTGATTCACATTCCTTTTGTCAACATCAGCTGCCGCATTTGCCTCTGTATGTAATTAAGAGCTAGAAATTAATCAGATTTGCCAGCATGCAGTGCCCATTGCTCGAACAGGAATGCAAGGGGAGGGGGGCTGGCTGAATGCAAACAGTTACTTCTCTACCGCTTTTATTGCAGATTTTTCCAGTGATTTCTTTCCATGAAGAAAACAGCCACTGCAGTTTGCCTCCTGACTCACCCAAACTCAGGGAAATGCCTGCCTGAATTATAATTAGCTCCATAAAACGAATCATCTGATGCACAGGACCGTATCAGGCTCAGATGCAAATCATGCAGGCACGCAGCAAACCAACTTACATTTTCTTTTGAAAAYGACCTCGTGAAGCACAGGTATCGTGTGACCTTGGATTTAAATAAGCCATCTTTCCAGAGGTCAGCATCCAAGCCATCTGCTGTTTGTGCAACCTGGAAAGAGGAGACAGAGGGAGGGAGGAGACATGTGAGCCAAGATAAAGTTAATATATGTGCAGTGCTTCTTCCTCAGACCTAGTCTAATTAACAGGAGCCCGAACTCTCCCAGCATCTCATTAGTTTCTTTTCACAAGGTGCAGTGCAAAGAACTTCCAAGAAGTAGTACAAAGAAGAACTTCTAAAAATACTGTCTCTAGGGAGCTCATTGATTAAAGATGCCCTGACAAAAGCTATTCTAATGAGGCAACAGCAGTTTTGGTTGCAGCATCCAAACAACAGTTTGGGAAGTCAGCACATTAAGGCAGCGGCTGCTGCGGCGCATGCAAGGGCGCCCTGTGCCGCGCTGCAAGGAGGGCTCCGCGCTGCCAAGGCGCAGCAGGGCCCTCTGCAAAGGGAGCCCCGGGCAGCACAGCAAGGGCTGCTGCCCCGGGCCAGCTGCTGAAAGGGGCTATGCCCTCCGCTTGCCCGCRCCAGCGCCAATGCGGGCAGAGCCTCCAGCGGGGCCGCGGGAGTTAACGGCGCCGCGCTGCTAAGGAATGCCGGCAACAGTATCTCACGCTAAGGAGATAAAACACCTCGCATGCAAATGGGGCCAGGAAAGCAAATTCCAAGGAAAATAATCTGTTGGTGGCCAAAAGCTCAGTAACACAGCACAAGCTGCGAGTGCTTGCAGAGCACTCGGAGAACCATGTGATAAACGACTACAGCAAATGGCCTGGAGGAGTTACAAAGGGACACGTGTAACGTCAGGAACAAATCTGCTCCAACAAGCTCGGGAAACTGCCTGAGCTCAGCATTACTTTCAGAGAAAGCGGCAGAGGAATTCTGGTCTCTGGGCCAGACGCTGCTTCCAAGAGCCAGAAGGCCAGTCCCGGTGCCCACTACGCGAGCRGCGGCATCGGGAGCACACGCGGACACCTGCCCAGCACCTGCCTGTCCTGCCTCCCGCTCAGGAAAACCTTATCAGGGCAAGCAGCTAATTACACAGCCCAGCCCATGCAGGCAATCAGCACTCAGAAAAATGCAGTAAATTCAAAAATCTCTCTTGCAATACCCTTTTTTCAGTCCCATCCATTTCCCTCCCTTTCGTCCTGCACAGGCTCTGCTACCACCCAGGGCTGCAGATCTGTGAGCAAAGCTGCAGCAAGACGCATAGAAAGGTGAGCAGATGGAGGCTATGGGCCAAATCTTCATATAAAGCTCTGTGATTAGTATTTTATGTTTCATGGGTTGGGCCACCAGCCTATTGGGGCGGGGAGGGGGAAATCAGGCTATTTGTTATACAGCAACTTACCCATGCAATCCGAGGAACAAGCAGATGTTCAACACCGAGCTCCGTCTAGCCGTTCAGATGTGTTTATGCCTCTCATCTCTACTCTATCCAGCTGCTTTTGCTTGCTGCCCAGCCTCCTGCCAATACCTAATTCAGGGGTTTGCATTCTATCCATCAAAATTGTCCCTGCAATTTCAGCTGGATGCAAAACTCTGCTTTCCATTCTGAAGCTTCTCATCATCACTGTGCAGTGCTGATATGTGGGATTAAACAGCTGATGTGGGATCCACTTATTCAGAGATATAATTTGTGCAATACTTAGGAATCCTTCAGGATGAATATTACCAGGATTATTAAATTTGCATGCCACATTGGCCAGCTGTTTCTGAAAACCCCTCCTCCAGGTAATRCTGCTCCTCTGGAGCAGCACAGATGAAGTAGCACGACTGCACCACAAACCCCGCTGAGGGAAAGAGAGGTGGGCTGCTGYACATACAGAAATCAGGCCTTAGAACGCATTCCTGAAGGCAAGTCCTCTCTGGAAATGACGCTATTCCCAGCAAAGTAAAGGTTCATTAATACGGAACAAAAACTTCAGCAAAAGCAGCTGAAATAGCTCTACTTACTACATCGTAACCTGTCGGCGCTCGGTTCCGGGATGCAACGACGCCAACACCRGTGATCGGATCCATGGGCAAGTCTGGCAGAGCATCGGAAAGGTCTCGCACTTCAGGCATCATGGACTGATCCTGAAAGAGAGGGAGCAGGATTAAGGGGCCGGCTCTGCAACACAGCCCCGCAGCCCACACGCACAAGCAGAGCCGCAATGCTGCCAAGTCCAACACCGGATCAGGCCAGACACACCTTCTRCTTCTTCATTTGCTTTTGATAAGCTGCATTTGTGCAACGCCCGATAGGTAGGGAATTTGGGCCAATAGCCTCTTCGGAGATTAATTTTACTAAATATTTAGTATGGGCCAGTCTCCATCTAGCAACAGCAGGAAAACCCAGGCTTATCCCTCCAGTCCCAATGAGGTGCCAGGCTGGTTGGAGGAGCTCTGCTATTCTGAGTACCAAGAAATCTGCTCCCATCCGCTTCATTGCAGGGTTCTGCACCCCAAAAGGGCGTTGAACAAGCCCGGGGCTCGCTGGAGGATCGGCCCCRTCACACCCTCCTCCGCAAGGGCGTTCTCATGCAGCAGCACGGGTGTATCTGGCGCCGTGCACAACACTACACTTGCTGCCGGAGCCTGCGCGCACCAGAACCAGCCAGACGAAGCCATGCAGGACGCCCCGATGCAAAGCGGAGGCGCCTTCGAACAGGCTGCACATCTCCCAGGGGGACAGGGAAGACGTCACTGAACGCTTCAGGGCAGGGAAATGTGCACCGRGGGTACAGGAGGATAAGACCAGCTCAGTCGGGAGTGATGCTGCGGCGGGAAGCAGGAGGGCAGAGCTGGCGGCAGGGAAAGCCAGGACACGGCCCCACGTGCAGCACTCCCGAGGCGGCTCCCAGGGCAGTCAGGGACCCCCGGCGCTTCCAGGCCGCTACTTACTGGCTAGCAAGGGCAGCAGCAAGCGCTTGCGCCCGGGACCCGCTCTACACTTCAGCGCCCGGTCGAGCAAACACCGTGCTGCAGGCAACAGGAGAGAGCACATCTGGGCCCAGGTCGGCGACACCACCACGTGCAGTACCGCAGCAGCAGTTGGTCCTGACGCAAGAGGCTGCCAAGGCCACGTCCTGCCCTGCCCCTCGCCTGGACCAGGGCCCACAAGGGGCAGAGCATCCGCGGCGGCCCCGTCCCCACACATTTCCCCCTCCAAAGCATCACCACAGGRCACCTCACCTGCCTCGCAGCAGGGAGCCCATCCTCGGCACCACCAGGAACGCGGGACCCTGGCAGTACCGCGGCCCCTGCGCAGGGCACCTGCTCGCATGTGCGGCTGGGTGCAGACAGACCTGACGCTGCCGCGCTCCCACGCAGCCGCCCACGGGCACCCAAAATACCCTGCGCGGAATGCGGAGAGGAGGGCTGCAACACGCAGGACTGAGCAAACAGAATGCCAGTTTAATAAAGAACATGCAATCTGTTCTTTGTACAAGCGCACGCTCTCTGAAACTCTTCCAAGTTGTTTGCAATAACCCGATGACGGCTGTTACGCGCCGGGAGGAGCTGGAGATAACGCATGCCGATATTGGCTGCTGCAAGGCCGTTCTGGACGGTACCGGAGGCAACTAACGCTACAGCCAGAAGAAAACCCCAGGGCAGACGCCAGCGTTGGTGCCGCTGTACTGTGGGAAAGCAGCTCTGCTCTCCAAGCCCTGGCAGCACCAGCAAACCCGCCCTCGACCAGGCAGCCCCTGCCCTGGCACAGCTCTGTGCCTGCTCCACAGCCTGCAGCACCCCTCATGGGGGCCGATCAGCACCCACATTAACCACCTCGGCCCTTCTGTCCCCTTTTCGAGGCCCTGGAACGGCCAGGAGAGATGGGAAGGGAATGTGCTCTGCCCCTTCTCCCTCACCAGAGCACCCACAGGAGCAACACGGCTTCATCAGCAAGCGCTCTGCTGCCGCTGGCCTCCCGAGGTGGCTCTGGAGCAAACGAGGATCCAGGGGCTGGGATCCGGGGAGCAGCCACAGGCGACGTGAGGACCTGTYGCCCCGGGACACGACACGAGTCTGCCTGGGCCGCAGGGAGAAAGGCACCTTTGTGCTCGGGGTGCCACGCAGCGAGCGGCACTGAGCTATTTGCGGGGCCCTGACGCAGGGCGCACAGAGGGGGAGGAAACTCCATCAATCCTCACTTTGTCAGGCTCACACAAAGCCTTTTTRCGGCGGGAGCAGGGGAGGTGAAGCAGGAGCGGAGCAGGGCTGCCCGCCTCGACATGGCAGGAGATGCGAGCTGCAGACGTGATGGGCTCGGTGCCGGCAGGGCCGCTCCGACCCACACCCGGAGCCAGGCGGCTCCAGCCGCACAGCTGGGGCTTCACCGGAGGGGTGACACCCACGAAGGGCTTCACTCCTCCGCCGACGGCATTGAGGATGCTTCCGGAGCGGGCAGAGCAGGCTGCACGCGCGGGCGACGCTTGTGTGAGCGCCGCGCCGGTGCAGAGCGGCCGCCGCGCAGACAAGCTGCGCTYCTCCTGCCTCACGGGCAACTGCACAGGCTCGCTTTCGTTTTGGTCACGTCTTTGAACTTAAAATTAAAAAACGAAAACAAAACAAACAGTGAAATAACAGATGGAAGTCAGGAACAGGATTCACTAAGCACCCTTGTTAGAGAGTCCCGCTGTTTTAATGCGGTTCTCTCTGAGCAAAGCCAGGCCAACAGGAGCTCACACCGGCACCGGGACACACGTCCTCGAGCCGGAGGCTCGGCCCGGTTGCACCTGCTGAAGGCTCCTCCGGGACCGGCCACAAACGGTGTTTGGGAGGAGCAGCTGCTGGGGAACGAGCTGCTGAAGGAGCCGCCCCGCGGGAAGAGGGGCCGGGCTGAGCCCCAGGGCAGGAAGAGGCGACACGGGGCCACCTTGATACAGCGGCAGGAGGAACAGAGGTGCCCCAAGCAAAGCGGGTTGCTGCCTGGTGCTGCTGCCCACAGCCACGCACACCACGGGCGTCCCGTCCGCTCCGTGGGGGACAGAGGGCCCTGAAGGGCTCTGCTGGCACGGCTGGCAGCCAGGGGCCCAGGTCAGAGCGGCCGCCTGGATCCGCACACCGCGGCTCCAGAAGGATCCGCAGCAGGAGGTCGTGGCCTGTAGAACACAGCCTTTATCCCACAGGGAGCAGGTTTCGACCCCTTGCCACACAAGGCGTCCTGCTGCCCAGGCCAGACCGCCCTCCCTATGCGGCATTTCCTTGCACCGCGGGCCGCTCCRACACCATTTCCAACCGTGTGGAAACATGAGCGGGGACAGCAGCAACGCGGCGCCTCCGTGCTCCAGCTGCCCCAGCCACCGGCACGACTTCGTGCAGTCTCCTATTTCAAACCAGAACAGATGTCCCCACGCAGATGACCTTGCCCACGGAGCGGGATGTAAACGGCACCAGCTCAGTTGYTTCTCTTGGCAGCTGCAGCAATGAGCCCTTGGGCTGCAGGGCCCCTTAGGCCTGGCCTGCGCTCCAACAGCGACAAGGAGGGCTGCAAAACGGAGATGTTCTGAGACACCCTCGCACCTCCCGAACCTCAAGCAGAGCTTTGGCCACRCTACGCTGGAAAAATCCAACGGCTAGGCTATTTCAGCTGAGTTTTCTAGGCTAATTTTTCCTAATTTTCTAGGCTATTTCAGCTAAAAATAACAGAGATGGCACTAAATTGCATTGCTAACGTGCCACATGGCACAGCAGGCTACACCTAGGTGTATTTTTGCATGTTGCAGTGCAGGTGAAATGARATCTAAGATGCAGGAAGGCAGGTTTGAGGGCGAGCGGACGAGGGCCCGCACGAGCCCACCTGCCTSCCAGCAGTGACGCTCACATCCCAATCGCTCCGCAGCTCCTCCGCCTAAGGAAAGCCTGAAACACTGAAGCTCTGCAGGTCTTAACGAGCCCTTCCAAGCATCAGCGTGAAAACCCTTAGGCCTTCACAACACAAAGGTTATGCAGGCGGACCCTCAGCGTGGCTCTGGTTAGCACTGCAGAAACAACACACGTTACCACCCCGCGCTGCACAGAAAGCCCCAACGCAGGTGGGAGGACGGGCAGCAGGGGGAAAAGCAGCAAACGACAGCAAAACACACCCGTTTTGTTACCCTGTCCTGCAACGACCGGCGTAGCCCCGGGAGCTCCTCGGAGGTCAAGGTCACCAGGACCGCCCCGCGCCCAGCGAAGCCGCAGCTAGGCCTGACCCAGGAACGTCCCCTGCTCCCCGCCGCACGGAGCGCGGAGCTCGCGAGCAACGACGCGGCCGCCCGCGCGCGAGACAAAGCGCCGGGAACAAAGCTGCGCTCCGCGCGACAAGGCCCGCCGGGCAGCGACACGCAGCAACGCGCTATATCGAGCAGCAACGCGCCCGGCGGCCCCGCGCTGCTCCGCGGGC